AGTTTAATAAGTTAAATTAAAATTAAATTTTTAAAAAACATATTTTAGAAATTTCTGAAATTTAACATCTCTAAACACGATGCGTGGATGCGTCACAAATGCACATCTTCAACGGGTCCGTTCAGTCCTTCTTGCATTCCTCTTGGGAATAGAACTGTTCGTTCATCGTTGGCATCTTCACATTTATACTTGTAACATGTGAAATTGTACTGAACGTCGTATCTGGTTATGCACGGCCTTTTACTTTTGACGTGGCACTCCGATTTCAGACAATCCTCTCACAACTCGTAAATCAAGCCCTTTCCGGCTGATTTGACATTGGCGTAACAAGGGGGGTATAGATAGAAGTGGGCTCAGCCCCTTGTACTTCTATTTAGCCCCCTATGAGGTTTTACTTTTAGCCCCTTCTTAGCCTCGTAGTTAGAACCCAAATCGTTACAAATAAAAAATAATGTGTAAAATAATAAATTATCATATTATTAAATATGATATAATATAATTGACATTGTGTACAGTGTAGGTATGTACCAAGTACGATATATCGTAATTGGTCATAGTTTTCGAGGTAGAAATGTGTTAATGTGTTTAAGCCTTTAAGGTGTATAGTATATCTGATTATTGCATATTAGCTTCAAGCTTACCTATATATTAACGCCCCTATTATATATAATATTAATATATTATTTTATAACCTTTAAATTGGTGCCCGTGTGGCCGTGTCCCGTATTGGTATACCTATTCTTATAATATTATAGTTATCGATTTTAGTAGTATCGCACATCCGTACAACAGTGGTTGAACCCTATTATATTATGTTATATAATTTTATATACATATATATTAAATAATATTATATTATAATCATTTTATTTTCCAATTCTCAGTTCTCAATTATTTACTGTGCGTCTGTGGCACTCTCTCTGCAGACTGCTAAGTAGGAAGGTACTATTACAGACTGTCACAGCCATTTTTTTTATTTTTGAGGACGTATACGGTATACATAAGCAAGTTAGATTTTATTGTATACAATTATCAAAATGTTTAGTATATTCAAATTAAAAAAATCAAGTAGTGCTAAGAACGAAGATGACCCAAAAAAAATATGATTTATATTATATTTTGGTTTTAGCGGACTTTTTGTAACAACTAAATTTCAGTGAATCTTAAAAGGGGGGTGTGGGGGCTTTGCCCCCACGTGTGTTTTTACACTTTGGTTTTGTAGACTCTAGCCCCTGTAACTATTCAATCCTAGTTACGCCCATCGCCCATGCGAGTACAAGTAGAAGATATTCAACCGAATCGCGAAAACGAACACGGCCACGACGGTGTGTGTGTGTGTGTGTGTGTGTGTGTGTGTGTGATATTCAAGAGTTGATAGCCTACATATATGGTTTTTTCAACATCAATTTATTTGAAATGTATGACTAAAAATTTCAATTTTCTTATTGATTTCCGATGATAACACTTTCCCCTCTAAATATATTTATTTTCTCTCCTCACAAACAAATACTTAAGGTGACACGACAGACTTTTAAGAAATAAAAAATTTCGCAAGTATTTTTCTTATCTAGAAAAAGATCAAGATAATGCAACTTAAATTTATCTAGATAGATATAAAATATAACTTAACTCATATTGATCTAGATAAAAAAAGAAACATTTTTTTTTAATGGTTTTAAGATCGTCACACGTCTAATTTCTAAGTTAACATTGCTTCTAACATGTTTTTAAAAACATATTGTTAGCATTAAATCATTTTATAATAATTTTATATGAATGTTTGTATTGTTCAACAAAAAAAAAAACAGTCTGTACATAAATGTGCAAAATAAGCCATTCAGCCATTGGGACTTACAAACATAACACGGATCACGGGGTAGGGGAAGTAGCTAATTGATTATACCATACATTTAGCATATGACCAAAAGATTATTATAGCTCAAAAATCAATATTATAAATAAAATATATAAAGATGAGGTGATGTTAATAAGCATTACACATTTACACCTCAACATTTGAAAAGTTATATAAAGTAGGTATCAAAGGATTAACTAGGGAGAATAGTTTTAAATAATTATCTTATAATCGTATATAGGGTAATTCACTAAGCATGCTCACCCCTGTTATTTTAATTTAATAATTAATTCATTCAAATTCGGAATATAAAATAGATTGTAATATTAGATCTAATATTTACTACACTTTGACAATTTTTACAAATTATAATAATTATTGATAGATTAATATTAATTAGTAACATTTTTAAAATATACATAGGTATACTCTGTTCAAAATGAGATGATGACTCAGCGGCCAAGTTGTGCGCATGGGCGTGGCTTTGTTCCATTGCAGCGTCCGACGCGTCGCCGTAGTGGGGACAGTGTCTGACCATATGTCTGACCGCCGCCCGACGAAAACTGGTCGCCGCCGAGTCATCATCTCATTTTGAACAGAGTATAGTCTTATATCTTCCAAACGACCTTACTACGTGGATCTAATTGTTCTTAGTTCCTTCACAAAGCTATAAATACCTGGCAAAAAACTACTAGCTCAATTTTTCATATTGATACCTCTAAATGTTCGTTAAATAATTTACAGTATACAATAGGTTGAATAGTAGGTGCAAAAAATCTAAAGAATTTCAAAAAATGGTCTTTAACAATTCCAAAAAATGCTCAGTGAATCACTCTGTATGTATTTTAAGCAAATAATATTGTTTAATGATTAATTCTTATATTGACCAGATGCAGCTTTACAACATTCGAATACGACGGGGCTCAGAGCTTCTAAAAAATAAATTAATAAAGCACAAAATATATACGTGATGAAGTAATCGTTTAATATTGATTAATAATACAGTATATTATAGAACACTGAACAATATAGGTGCACCGATTACATAATATAATATTACAAGCATTTATCATTTTAACTATATAACTGTTGGCTATATTTTTCGTTTTGTGGCGACACTGTCACACGGCCTACCGGACCGGCCACGGCCGTCATAATGGTAATCGTTTCCGTACTCGTTCTGTTTTTGTTGTCACCGTCGAACGCGACGTACCGCTCCGAGTCCGGGGCGCAACTTCCGTTTTGTATCAGATAGTTCAACTTTACTCAAAAGCCGTTATAATAGTATTGTTATCGTATTTAATGTGTTAATAAACCGAGTGATACCTAAATTTGCGTTATTTATGTATTACTATACTAATTGATCCTGACAACCTCCCGAGTTTTATTGCTTTCATAACTTTAATGATACAATCATGAAGACTAGAATAAGGAGACCAACTCGGCTTTTGATGACGTCCCGAAATGAGTAGCAAGATCAAAGGGCCACAGGCTGCGCTGCGTAAGTTAGGGCTGCTACTTTAACAAGCGTAGGTACTATAGGAATTATTCATGTTTTTTGCATTCTTTGGAAAATATATGCAATATTTTGAACCACGACCTTCTTGAGGTTTTATAGCTTGTAGGATTACGAATTTATACATGTGCATAAGTATATATTTCATAAACATGTTATTCAAGAAACAAATTTGAGTGTAAAGATACATATATCGGTATAAAACAAACGTTCAAGAAAACACGTATATTATGTATGGTGTATCGAATGGTATCGGGCTCAGACTTGCTGTGAATATACAGGTATAACTATATATAGTGTTAACGAATTATATAATTTAATTATTTACACAAAAATAAAAATAATATTTATGAAATATACACATATGTATAAACGAATAATCGTACAAGCTATAAAATCTAAAGAGGGTCATGGTACAAAATAATGCATATATTTTCCAAAAACATTAATAATCCCTATACTACACGGGTTAAAGTAGCAACCCTGGCCATTTCAGTACGTTTTTTCATGTGGGCGGCCGTACGAGTTTGGTCTCCTTATTCTAGTCTTCGTGGATACAATAATAGATAAATTCGTAAAGATATGGAATAAGAATGATAATATATGGCTTACAGAAGTGTTGTATTTTCATTGTTTCTTTTGTTCACAAGTGAAAATGTTACGTCGCAACTGAGGTCGATATATACATCAACGCAGGAATGAAATACTGATGTACTTGGTTTATGATGAGTGTTTATTTAAGTACAAAATTACAATCTATATAAGCTATGGTGGAGATGTGAGCGGTGTTATGACCTGACTCCAAATGTCTTGAGTATCCCTAACCGTCTGCCGAGCTCTTGTCCCGGGCTGGTATTTATATGATCGAGTCCTTTGGAGAGGGTGGTTGTATCAATGGCCAAATTCGGTCATGAGACTGCGTCCGGGTCTCGTACTTGGTATGCTGGTCGACTCGTATCCTTCGTATGAGTGTTTGACTTTCCTAGAGAGATACTTTTACAGTGTCCCTAGTCTCTTATAATATACTAATTGCCTTAATAATTATATCGTCGAGTACTATTCGAAACCTGCGCTACGTCGTACATTATTATTACTTAATTACTAAATACGTAGGTACGTAACAAAAACATTCTCGAGAAACGAATCACAGTCATTCCTATATTATAATATTTATAATGTTAAGAATAGGGAGGGTAGTTTTAAAAATAGTTTACCCACCACTGCCACAGTGCCACAGAATAATTATAATAATAATATTATGTACGACGACAGCGCACTGCGGCCGTAACTATAACTGTTATGCGAGAATATTGTACGAAGTAAAACCGTGAAAAAATATTAAATACTTCACGGCGATGATGAGAAGCGTATATTCATAATTTATGTACCATATAATATTATTATTATGGAAATGGCTTATAACAATTTTTTTAAGAGCAAAAAATATTAATTTAAAATATAATCTTATAATTATTATATAATCTCACTGCGGGCGTGCTGGCGGTGTCGTACGGAACTCACAAGCAAGTTGAGTTCTTCTGATGATCGGTTGGCATGCGAAATGTCTTGTAATTTCTCACATCGAGTGATTATTTTGCAATGCACAAGTAACACGAGTAGTCACTACGCATGTCTTTGTCTCGTCCCGTAGACCAGTTGATTGTCATTTTCGCGTTCACACAGGAAACATATGAACTGTTCGTCGTATTTGATGTAGCACAGCCTTTTTTTTATCGGTGTGGAAAGTTGAATCTAGACACTCCTGGCACACCTCGAAGAGATTGCCGACTCCTACTGATTCGATGGGCGAGTACAAGAGAAGAAATTCAACAGCATGTGAAAGCAAAGACTGGCACGGCGACATACGACAGAAATATATTGTTGTTATGTGTAATGTGTGTGAGTATTATTGCCGAGATAAGTGTATGATATAGGTGCAGAGTAAGAGTATAAGAAACACAATATTATAATTCGTTGGTGCGTTAATAGCAGATTGTCGATTGACTGACATTTCGATCAGTAATCATCACGGTGGTGATCGAAGGCGTACTTATATATTATATTATATAATACTATTGTGTAATGGGGTATTATTAGTTTTTAAGAACAAAAATGATAATTGTATGTAAATATATTATCTTAATATTATTTTAATTATAATCTCACGACGGGCTAGAGTGGCCAAATGCAACTTACACGCACGTTGGTTTCTCCTCCGGTTTTGATACGGTGCACTTCTTGTATTTACTCAAATCGGTGCCCTCTTTTACGATGCACATGAAACACGATATGTCACAAACGCACATCTTCAACGGGTCCGTGCAGCCCTTATCGCATTCATCTTTGGAATAGAACTGTTCGTTGCCATTTTCGGGTTCACACGTGTAACATGTGAAATTGAACTGAGGGTCCCATCTGGTTATGCACGGCCTATTATGCTTGACGTGGCACTCCGACTTCAGACAATCCTCGCACAATGGGTACAAACCACCGGTTGCGGCTGATTCGACGGGCGAGTACTGCAGGTAGAAGATATTCAACAAAATCGCAAAAGTAAACACTGCCACGGCGGCGTACGACAGAAACATTTTGTTGTTGTTGTTGTTGTTGGTGGTGGTGGTGGTTTTATATATCGGAAACTGCTGTGATGGGTGGATCTCTTGCAGTGGCCACTCGAAATGTATTCGTCGAATGAGTTCGTATATAATATATATATATATATATGTGTGTTGTGTGTGTATAAATATTTCTGCCTCGATTATAGGATATGTAATATAGGTACAGAGTGTAACACAGCTGGTTGACTGAAATTTGGATCGGTGTGCATATAGTTTTTAAATCCAAACGTCTGCCTGTTACGCGATCGTGGAGTCGTGTAATTGGCCAGGTCTAAATTTGACATTTGTTGGGGTAACGCGATGGGTTTTCGAATGATCACAACAACCTGATTTATTATTTAATTTCCTTCGTACAGTGTGTGCAAAAAGTCATCCCGTATCGCTCTTATATCATCTAAATGTCAAATCCAAGCATTAATGTGTTTTTATCAACAACCTTTTATTTGAAATGTATTACGAAAAATTGCAATTTTCTTATTGATTTCCGATGGTAACAAGACCCCTTCAAATATATAAATATGTATAAATGATATATAATATGTATGTTCTTACAGACAAATATTAAAGGTGATACGCAAGACTTTTAAGAAGTAAGTAGTAGGTGACTATTGCAGAATATACATAAACATTCAATTGATACTTTAGTATATAAATTATAAACTTATATACATTTGATTGTACATTAATAAAGAATAGGTAAATAGGTTGTCTGGTTGTATATGCATATGCGTATACCTGTATAATCACCGAATAATCTTGATAAAGTCGGTGTTTTCTACAAAACCGTAGGAGTGTAAGTGTACCATTCTTATACCACACCTTTTTCAAACTTCACAATAGATGTGTAAAAAAGATCACAAAGTAAAATAATTACAAAAGATCATATAATAAAATAATGTGCAAAAAGTTCATAAAATAAAAAATTAAAAAAAATTAGAAAAAACAATTAAAATATTAAAAAATATTTATTTCTGTAATCGATTATAGAAATCACCCAAAAATCTTTGGAAATTATTTTACACTACGAGACCATGGATGGGAGATATAAAAAATTAAACTTAAAATTTGTTTGATGTCTAAATGTCATTATTAACATAATTACATAAATATCATCGAAGTTATACATAAATCAAAATATAAAGATAAAGGGAAACTTTCAATAAGTAATATATAGTCTGTAAATTATTACTAGTGTTTAAAATTCAATCTGCTTGAGTTATTAATTTATATTTACGTTTATTTCTAATAGTTTTTATAAGTACATTGATAAATAAATTAAAAAGTCGTTTAATTCGACGGTCCCTTTATAATAATATCTTGATAATCGAGACCTTAGATTTTCATCAGTCCCTACACTTTTAATGGTTTAAATTTTCATAATTCAAATAATGATGGGTTTTATGTAAATAAATATCTGTTAGTTTAGTAATTTTTGAACATAAAAGTATAAAACCATAAGATCTTCGCCATTCATATTATCATTATAATGTTTAGTAGAATTTATAGTTTGTTTAATGCAATTAATTTTATTAAAGCAGGTTGATTTATAATTTATATTTTTAGGCTGAACTGTGAATACTTAATTTTTGAACCGTTTAAAAAAAATTTGAATAAAAACATTTTTGGGGTTATTTAAAATAATCTAAATAACATTTTGAAAGACAAAAAAAATATTGAACTAAAAATCCTATTTAAAATGTTGAAAATGTCTAACCTACAATCCTAATAATTTATATGTATGTATTGCATCCACATAGTGAGATCACTAATTTCATAAGCTGTACAATGTACATCCAGATTGTGAAATTCGTCAAGAGCGTATGGACTTTTATTTCATTGTATACTTTGTGTAATTATTAGAATAAAACAAACTTTGTTATGTTATAACGTTCTTACAAAAACCGTCCATACTATACTTTTCTATATTGTTTTATGAACAACAACATAACAAGTCAATAAATTATATTATATTTTAATTTATTTTAATTAGGTTATTTTTAAATTGAAATAGTATACAGTTTATTTACTTGTTATAAACCATATGTATATTTGATATAAATGATTAATGAACCATACATATTTTCCTGTACTCATTGTTATACCTTAGTATTTATTTTTGCTCAGATTTATTACGAATTATGTGATGTAATTTTTAAAACGTGCACACCTATACAAATATAATGTTTGTTGAATCTGTTCTGTATTTCCCATATACCTAATTAACTTTCGGTACTCCGAATATAACACATTGAATAAATAGT